CTTTGAGTAAATGCACTCAAATTTGTTACCTCCTCTGTAGCTTCATAAAGCTCTCGTAGGTCTCTAAATCTTCGTGGACCACTCGAGCTCGCCTCATCACCTTGTATATTTTGTGGCGGTGGTGTTGATGGTGGTGTCGGTTGCACCTTGCCTTCTTCATCTTCATCAAATAATGGACTATATTGATCATTTTTATCTTGTCCACTCCAGTCCCAAACGCCTTCTTCGTCAAACTCCACATCTCGGCTTATCACAAGCTTTCGGTTGTTTGGATTATACAACTTGTAGCCTTTTGAATAATTATCATAGCCGATGAATAAGTACTTTGTACTCTTATCATCGAGCTTCGTGCGCTTATCATCCGGGACATGCATGTAAGCAATGTTTCTAAAAACTCGCAAGTGTGAAACTGATAGTTTGTAGCCACTCCAAGCTTATTGTGCCTTCGTTCCATGGACACTCTTCGTGTAGCACCGATTCATCAAGTAAACGGCACACGAAACAGCTTCAGCCCAGTACTCCTTCAGCATATTCTTGTTTTTCATCATACTTGTTGCCATGTTGAGGATCGTCCGATTTTTTCGTTCAGCAATTTGTCATAGGACGATGAATGCCATTTTTCTCACAAAATTCTTTGAGTTCGTTCGAAGTGAATTCACCACCTCGATTGGACCGAAGCGCCTTGATCCGATAACCACTTTGATATTCCACCATCATCTTTAACTTTTTGAGGGTAGGATTTTTTTATCAAGAAATACACCGTCTTCCGAGAATAATCATCAATGAATAGCAAAAAGTAATTATTTTTGCCAAGAGAATTTGGTTTGATTGGCCCACACACGTCCGAGTGAACTAACTCTAATGGATATTGCGCCCTTGTCGTCGACTCCTTTGGAGAACTCTTTCTTGCTTGTTTTCCATAAATACACCCTTCACAAAGTTGGTTCGGATGATTTATTGAAGGCAACCCCTTCACCATTCTCTTTTTGCACATCATTTGGAGGCCATCAAAATTCAAATAAAGATATAAGAGTATAATATTAATTAAAAGTAAGTGACACTACAAGAAAAAAAATTCGTAAGTGACTATAAGACATCTTATTATGACAATAATATTTGTGACTAAATGGTTCAAATGTTGACAAACTATTTTGTCACTAGAATATCGATTTATAGTTACGAGCAACGTACGTGACAAAAAATTGAATTTTAGTGACGATACTTAATGTGACTAAAAATTTGGATATATTGATGATTATGGTAGTGGTCGCTAAAATCTTTAGTGATAGTATTTATACCCACGACCTAGCAACGGCTTATACTGTTGACTCAAAATGATATTGTGACGATATGCAAACATATAGCGACAAACACCATCGCCACTAAAAATGATTATTCTTGTAGAGGAACATGTGTACCTATATAATAAAAAAAAAAAGGTTTTATGGAGTTTATTGCTATTGGGGGTTTAAGGTGCAGGAGTAAGAATGAAGTTTTGGATGATATGCATGTTGGTAGTGTAAAATGAGGTTTACGGGGTTTTGTTGATAAAGATGCTTAGTATTAATTTTAGAGGATTTTTAGTTATATTTTTTTTACCAAACAAAAATATCCTCTCTATATAATTTTCGAATTTGCAGTCCCAAGTGGCAGGCTGGCACGCTTCAGAATTCTATTTGACAAAATTTAATTTTTTATGGCTTAAATAACTTTTAATTTACTTACAATCCATAATAATTAGGCTTGAAATTATTCATAAATATACTGTATATTTACGATCATTTTTATTAGCATTAATTGTGTTTTAAGATAAACATGATTTATAAGGAATGATACTTTTTGCATCAATCTTTCTTTTTCTTCCAATCTTTGTTTAATTATAATACATTTTACTAACTTAAATTATAAATATATTTTAAACGTTGACTTTTATATTTATTATCAATTTTTTTATATATAATATTTTAAATCAATCATCATTTCATTAGTTTTGATTTAACATCTATAATGTATAGTAAAGAAGAAATATAATTACATTTATATTTACAAATAAAAACTAATTCATCTGTTACTTTTATTTGAAAACCGAAATTTAACATGATTAACCTCACACTATTCCATTCAACTCTATGAAAGGCTTTAGCCATATCGAGCTTAATAGCCATATACTATTTTCTGCCACTTCTATGCCTATCTAAAAAATGAATGGCTTGTTGGCAAGAATGATGTTATCAAGAATTTGTCTCCCTCTAATGAAAAGAAGATCAGTTCTCTGAAATGCAAGCTGAAAGACAAAGACAGGACTTTAATCTATTAGCAAGAATCTTAGAAATGATTTTATATGCCACATTGCAAAGACTAATAGGCCGAAATTGAGACACCAATTCAGGGTTGCCGATTTTGGGAACAAGAATAATCAATGTACGGTTTAAGCGTTTTAAGATTTGATTAGAAGCATAGAAACTTTGAATCATTGAGCAAATATCAGGGAAAATAGAAGGCGAGAGAGTCTTATAAAAAAGGAAGTCATACCATCGTGTCCAGGGGCTTTGTTAGGATCAGTGCTAAAGAGAGCCGGGTTAATCTCTTCTAACTCCACGGCCCCAGTAAGCTCAGATATCATATCATCAGTGATCACCTTAGAGATGCCCTGAAGCTGTGTTCCCACATTGTTTGAGTACTCAGATTTGAAAAGATTGGAGAAATACTCTCCTATGCAGCCCTCAATCTCGTCAGGCCTATCACAAACAAATTGATCTTCCCTGATGAGTCGAGAAATGGTTTGACTTTCGCTCTTTGAGCAGTGCTAGCATGGTAGATTTTTGCCTCCAGAATTTTTGCATGGTAGAATTTTTGAGCAGTGCTAGCATGGCTATGTTATAGACTTTGCATATATCATACATATTTACGTAAAGAAAACAACAATAACTAAAAATACATTATGGTTTATGCAGGTGACGAATCAAGATTTGGCAGACACATACCAGCCTCCCTTTGAGAAGTGCATTAAAGACGGAAGAGCAAGCGGGATTATGTGTGCTTACAATCGAGTCAATGGAGTTCCAAACTGTGCTGACAGAAACCTCCTAACCAATACATCTCGCAAACTATGGGGATTTCATGGGTACATAATTAGTATAACGACAATCGATAGTTTCATAGTAGCATGTTATGAATTGAATCTGTATGATTATGTTCAACTTTCAAGTGCATTCTTTTAACAGGTACATTACATCGGATTGTGATGCCGTGTCCGTAATTCACGATAGTTATAACTATGCGAAATTGCCTGAAGATGCAGTTGCGGATGTGCTCAATGCCGGCATGGACATCGACTGCGGCACGTATCTTCAGAGATACACGAAATCCGCAGTCGAGCAGAGAAAGCTCGCCGAATTCCAAATCGACCGGGCCCTCCACAACCTGTTCGCGGTCCGTATGAGGCTCGGCTTATTCAACGGTGACCCAAAAGACCATCCGTTCGGCCAAATCGGTCCCGACCAAATTTGCTCGGACGAGCACCAACAGCTAGCCCTCGAGGCCGCAACAGATGGCATTGTCCTACTAAAGAACTCCGAAAATCTCCTTCCTTTCGACAAGTCCCGGACTCGAAGCCTCGCTGTCATCGGCCCCAACGCGCGCTATGCGTACGTGCTTCTCGGGAATTATGAGGGGCCTCCTTGCCAATCCGTGGAGATCGATCGTGCATTAGAGAGTTACGTGGGAGAGCTGCTGTACCACAGTGGGTGCAATGATGGTGTGAGTTGTACCTCGGCTGACGTTGCGGGTGCGGTTGACGTGGCGAAGAATGCGGACCGTGTGGTTTTGGTGATGGGTTTGGATAATGGTCAGGAGAAAGAGGACGAGGACCGCGTGGATCTCGTGCTGCCAGGTCAGCAGGAGACGCTCGTGAGTGCGGTGGCAGAGGCTTCGAAGGATCCGGTCGTGCTTGTTTTGGTTTGTGGTGGGCCTGTTGATGTTGGGTTTGCGAAAGATGATGAGAAAATCGGCGGGATAATTTGGGCCGGGTACCCGGGGGAGGCTGGTGGGGCCGCGCTTGCGCAGATCATATTTGGCGAGCACAATCCAGGTCTCCATTTTGCTGAATTCGGGCATGAATTGCCTTTCTCTCCTTAAGCTTTTATATACTTTAGACGAAATAAAAATTAGTTGAAAAACTAGTAGAAATAAAAATTTCAATGAACTTATTTGAAAAGCTACTCAAAGAAGAAGCTTATGAGATAAGCTCGTCCTACCAAATGAAACTTATTTAAATACATAAAACTTATAAACTAACCGAATAAGCTATAAGCTAGCGTATTTCTCTATCAAACATAGTATTGATCTGTTTTTATCATTTTGACATTGCAGGAGGGAAATTACCGATGACTTGGTATCCGAAAGAGTTCGTTAGGGTGCCAATGACGGACATGAGAATGAGGGCCGATTTAGCAACGGGTTACCCGGGGCGTACTTACCGGTTTTACAATGGAACAAAGGTGTTCGAATTTGGCTACGGACTTAGCTACACGAAATATAGCTACGAGTTCTTGGCTTCTACTCCGAACACTATCGACCTAAACCGGCTAACGTCTCGTAATTCTCGAGCAACTGGTGATGATGACAAGAGTCCACGTTCGCTAGATTATCTATCGGTTTCGAAAATTGGGGAGGACGCGTGCGAAAGTTTGAAGTTTTCGGCTCGTTTGGGAGTGGAGAACGCCGGGAATATGTACGGAAAACATCCGGTCTTGCTTTTCGTAGCACATGAGGACGAGGCTGAGGGGAGTGTCGGTGGCCGACCCGAGAGACAGCTGGCGGGGTTCGAGAGCGTGAGCTTGAATGCGGGAGAACGAATGGAAGTGGAATTCGAGTTAAATCCTTGCTTGCATCTTGCAACTGCTAATGAAGATGGTGAGATGGTGATAGAAAGGGGATATAAGAGGTTAATTGTGGAGGACAAAGAATTTGCTGTTCAGGTTGTGTTTTGAATACATGAAGATAAAATAATGAAATGAAGGCCAGACATGTTGTTTAAAGTAGTTTTCTTTAAGTCATACTGACATAAACTCAGATATATTAAGAAGATTTTACTTAAGCTTGGATGTAAAAGTTTGGGGAAAAATGCAATTTTATTGCACCGGTTTCCATTTTTATCCACTAGTTTTTTGTTTTTATTTCTCATGTAGCTAATAGAAAGTAGTAACCAGCAAGGATATCCTGGCTTATCCCTAACTAATCCCACGTTTGATACGCAGGATTGAAACCTGGTATTGATTGAAGGCCCGAGATGAAAAAGCAGATAGTCCCATGAAATTGGGATTAATCCATCCTTACTTTTTGGTGAAATTAGATTTATCCTGGTAGAGAAAATGACTAATGTGCCCTCATATTTTTTATTTTCGGACTATTTTGTCCTTCATAACTCCACCAATTACATTCTTACCCTTATAAAAGGGTACTTTAATTAAATAATTTTTTTTTTTTCAAAACAATATCAAAAAGTTATCCCAACACATATCACACATAACAAACACATCACTATATTTATTCCAACAGTGCAATACCTTACCTTGGCATTAAAACAGTCCAATCCCATCCTTCAAAACAAACAAGGGCTAAATATTAGTTTTTTGGGACGACGAGTTGCCCAGAAATCAAATTGATACTGGTATAAGGAGATTTTTAATATATAACTTAATTTTATCTCGAACGTGTTTATAATCCACCACTCACCTGTGTATGATCACTTTTAATGTCGAATAACCTCAAATTTATAAATCTATATAATAAATAAATATAGCCCGAGCATCGCACAATTATGCAACGCAAAATCAGCTCATGTATTTATTAACTAAATGGTTCTTTTTGTCCTTTAAGCAAGAATTTGAAATAAATAGACAGACATATATATCATCAAAGTCCTCTCACATGGACTTGCTGAAAACTATGTCATTCTGAACATACATAATGTGGAACATTGAAAAACAACAAACTTTGAATATATTATAAGGAGTATAGCTAGGTGAAATTATTTGACAATTACAAGGACACACACATACTTGAAACTTCAAAAGTAGTTCAATTAAATGAATTGTGACCTCTGAAATATTTTTCAAACAATATACTGTTAAGATAAGAACATAAATGAGAATTAATAAAAATTAAATATGATGGTCAGGTGATGGATGCATGGCTGTTCCTAATTTCCAACTATAACTGACCATCCATGCAACATTTAACATTAATGTTTCCAACCCCTATCTTTACGAATTTATTATTTAAATAAAAAAAAATTAAATGGACCAAAAAAAAATAAAAAAAAAGGTTGTCGACCAACATAAAACAGACGTATTCTGAGAATACGTTTTCAATAGTAAAACGTATTCTGAGAATACGTTTCAAAAGTAAAACGTATTCTCAGGTTACGTTTTATAACGAAATAAATTTTTAAAACACGATTAACTTAATTAAATTGCGATTAAGAAAATTAATGTAAAATAAAACGTACTGTCATAATACGTTTTACAAGAAACGTATTTTCAAAAAACGCTTTAAAAACTAAAACGTATTTTAAATATACGTTTTTTTTTAAATAATTTTTATATACTATAAATTAAAAAAAAAAATAGTAAAATTTATGAATTTTTTGACAACGTATTTTCAGATTACGGTTTCCTTCCGAAAACCGTATTATGACAATACGTTTTCAGTTAAAAAAATTAAAAGCTAAAACGTATTATGACAATATGTTTTCAGTTAAAAAATAAAAAATACTCCCAGACTCACACGACATAACCACACGGGTCGTGTAACGTCACACGACCCGTGTCACATGACACACGACCCGTGTGAAAAAGTCGTAGCTAAAAAAATCATTCTCTTGAAGCCACACGACTCGTGTCACCTACTCACACGAGTCGTGTGACCTATCTGCAGCTCGATTTTGTCATTTTTCGGTCCTTTAATACTTTTCTATGCATATTCCAAACAACCAACAATTTTACTGTACAGAAACAGTAATTTTACAACAGAAATAAAATAGAACACATGTTTGTCGAAATCAATTCCACAACCAAATATTCAACCAAAATATATCAAAATAAATATTCAACCAAAATATTCAACCAAAATATATTTAACAACCAAATATTCAACCACAAATAAAATTGAAGCACAATAATTTATTCAAAAAT